AGGTTATATAGGGCAAACGGGCCAATATTTTTGTAGATGATCTTTTTTATAGATTTTGTTATCAAATTATCTTACGATCCAAATAGAATGCAAATGAATATTTACGAGTTTTAGTAGATAATTAAATAGACAAAATTGGGCTCCCTCCTGATTGAAAACGCTCCAATTCCAAAAGTTTTCGTAAATAAAATAGTTGTAGGTTACGATGAGATGAAACTATTTACGACGTTTCAGCTGGATGTTAATAAGTCGATAAAATGGGGTCTGTACCACGCACTATATACAATACAATACAATTGTATATATTGATTTTTTTTTAGTTGAAAATTCTTTTTACTTTGCCGAAAAAATAACATTTTAATGTAGCCAATATTTTTAAATACATTTAAAGAATTAATTCAAAACATATATTACCCCGGAAAACAAAAACAAACAAGAAAATGCCAAAAAATGTTTGCTAAATAAATTATTTATTTTTTAGATTAATAAATTATTAATTATTTATCAATATAAGCAATACATTGTTAATTCAGTAATAAATAAACCTGTAAAAAAGGATTATAATGGAAAACCTCTGAATATATCAAACTCACTGCCATCGTAAAAAAAAATACTTATAATTCAACCGAAACTTTTCATGAATTAAGTTCTAACATTTAAGGAAGATTTATTTATATGTATTAAACCCTTATTTTGGGGAAAATCTTAATTGAAAGGTGTAAAATTTATTTATTGTTCACTCTGACTATCGAACCAGTACCCTTAACTATTTTAACTGGCTCGCAATTTTCGATGTTTTCTGTCAATTTTACTTATATTGCTTATATTTCTATTGACTAATTTCTCTTTTTCTATATATATAATGAAGAATAAACACACGTTTAATGTTATTTTCTATTGAAAAATCGATTTTGCGGAAGCTGAATCATTAGCAAAATATCGAAATGGAACTTCTAAACGCATGTAAAACAGGAATGACTGTTTTGTATTTTTTCTTGATTCAATGATAATTTTGCTGTGAAAATATTATATACATATTTGTTATCAATCAGAAAAGAAATTTGTTGTTTTTATTAAATAAATGGGCATTTTATATATTTTATTTTTATTATTTCATAGAGAATGAAAGCATTAATTCCCCTTGGGCCTCGCATTGTCCAGGAACTCATCTTCAATGCCGACTTACTAATGTAAGAACCATGAAAACGTTTTTTTCTAAATTAAAACCTTATTAACTTTATAAATGCAAAATTTAATTTTACTTAACTTTTATCCTTTAAGATTTTTAATTTATGAATAACTTACATAAAAAATTCAGCTTCGTGTAAGTTGTAAACGATGGACTGTATGGAAAAATGTTATAACTCCAAAGTTGTAAGTCATTCTGTCTTCAATAGAACTTACGCCGTGTAGAACTTAGGATCGTCCGTTTAACATAATTTGTTCAAGTAAAGGATTAAAACGTTTACTTTCATAAAAAAAAAAAATTAAAAAAAATGAATGAAATGAGCACCCAAAAGCCAAACAACGGGTTCTATATAAGGTTATACCCATGTATTTTTCCACGTACAACTTGGAGTATTATCTGCATAATTCACGTATGCCTTCTCTCTTAAAAGTACAATTAAATTGTTTCTTAAAAATTGTATTGAATTTTGTAGATTGTATATTTATAGTTTGTTCAGTTTGAAATAAATTTTCAAAGTTTCCATAGAAGCATTTAGTTCCTGCTAAATAACATAGAAGTAGCAAGAAATTATTGAATATTATTTTTTGTTACCGTCTATTTGATTTTACTACTTTATACATTCCATTTTTTCATTACTATTATTATGTTTTTAATTGATAGTAACTACGTTTAGCACAAATTTGAATTTTAAGTCTGCATAATGTGTATATTTTTATACTACATTTCTAGAATATGTTAACAGTAATTGTATTTTGGCAAAAGAATAACTTAAAAAAAACAAAATTCATAAATAACCGAGCGTAAAAATATTTAAAATTCAACGTACATTTAAAATCCTTAAATAATACAAATTATTGTAAATAATGAATGAATCTAAAATTAAGTAACAATATTTATGTATTTTCTTGAATAATATATTTACATTTCACATTAAAATATAGACTACTTTCTTCCTTCCGCTATTGAAGATCAGAAAAGATAAATTCAATTTATTTATTTTTTTAATAATTGTAAGTCGGTAATTAAGCGACGCGTTTGATATCATATCTCTCAATTATAACTGTTATTGAAAGAGAGTCGTTAATAAAATATCTATTACCTTAAATTAAAGCAAGAAAATGCTATTATTTATCTCGTCACAGGCTTCTATATGACAATGAAGTCTCGCTAATTTCTTTATGTTTAGTTACTTATTATTTTATCATTCAAAATGATAGATAAAATTAACAAAATCCTTAATAGGGTTCAATTAACAACAATAAAAAAAAGTAAAATTCTATCATAAAAGCTGGCTAATACAGGTTTCTATTTCATTCTAGGTAGATATTTAACTACTAGGAATCTTTTGCTCGTTTTACTTTTAAAGTCTTGCATTTTTTATTAGCGGTTTTATGTTTAGAAACTTGAATTGTCAAATTGAATCTACATTATAACTACAAAACGTTATCAATTTTTGTTATTTGCTTTAGCTAACACTTTTCCTCAGAGATTCCAATGGGACATCATTACGAGAATATCAACTTGAGATAAATCTAACTTTATTACAATAACGTTAGAATTATTATTGTTAATGAAAACGAATAAAAACTTACCAAGATAATTAAAATAAATGTTAGGCTATAATTGGAAACATTCCAATCAAATAACCTTGTGTCTCTAAAATGCACGTAAATACTTAATAATTATGCGATTGGATGTCATGGAGTGATGAGATCTTGGGTTTGTTTGCTTTTTTTTGTCCTGATGAAGTCTGAATTGGCATTATTCGTTAAATATTGACCGGTTATTTTATTTTTTATCTGCATTTAATAGACAAGAGGCTACGTGTGTTAAACAATTAAACAATTTAACAATTTAAACCTGACATTATTATTGTTGTTGTATATGCTTTGTTAGTTGCAAAGAATGCAATAGGTCGCCTTCAGTACATGAATGACAAGACACTAAACAAGTTTACAACTTCATTCGAATATTTAAGAAAACCTATTGACTTAATAGTATACATCGATCTATCCAGTATAGAATGCGAAACTTTATTATTCTCAGTATTATTAAATAAAAGTTATAAGCGAAAAAAAACGAGAAATTTAAAATAAAAGTTATTAAACATAAAAAATAAATGATGTAAACGAATGTTTCATAGCAGAGATCTGATGAATTATACTTGGCGCTACTGTTACTGCAATAAGTCGCATGTAACAATTTTACATGTTCATTTTCTTTGCTCTAAAAGTGACATTTTGTAGCCTGCAACTGCTATAAGTAGTCTTCTAAACAGGAGAATAACAAAGGGAAATAAAATATGAAATTATACTAATAAATCATAAACAAATAATCGGTTTTGTAAAAAAAAAAAATTTTTACATACGACTTTTTGTACTAACAGTAGCGATATATGTGTGCCCATTACAGTTTTACAGTATTTACGATTTTACTTTCTTTTTGTTTACTGATTATAAATGTCCCTTGCTGCTCTAAATGTAATTGAAAATTAATTTCACTGTTAAAAATAATTTTAAATAACTTAAAGGGTTCATTAGAATTTAAAATGAAAGAGTTAACCCATCAAGGTGTGGTTATTACAAAAAAAACAAACAAACAAAAAAAACGATTAAAACAACAAATATTTATGGCATAAAAAAGTAATTACATCTCTTAGGAAATAATTTTCTGAATTTATTTTACATGAAAAATCAGTTATAAAAAATATTATTTCAGTTACATTAAGTAATTATTATTTAACGGCTAGCTCTGTAAATTAATAAAACTAAGCATTTTAAGGGTTAAACTGTGTTAAAACTAAAAACAGATAATACATATTTATCATAGATTATTTATAATACTCATTATATTTTTTCACTTCCATGAATTTTACTTATTTTATGTAGATTGAAAAAAACAAATGAATACTATGATAAAAAAAATATAAGCTTTGCAATAATTTATTTCTAAGTTGTAATTTTTGCTGAAAAAACATGTCACTCCAACTAGAGGTGAATCTCAACTTATTCTGCGACAAACATCAACTTAATTAATATGTAAGCTTAATACACAAAGAAGTTTTTCTAAAAGTTACCCCACGTTTAGGAAAAGTGTAGCTCTGTAGCTAAAATGGAGAGTGATTTTTTTTAAAAACTTATTTACTGAAAAATATTACAATACGTCTCAAGGACATTTATAATAGTGTTCACAGATCAGATTTACACTCTATGTACAATAAATAAATAAATATACAAAAATAATATATACAATAAATAAATAAATAAATAAAAGAACATACATAAAAAGAACACATACGGAGAGTGATTAAAAAAAATACGAATGATCCTTAATTTTAAAAACAAAACTAAAGTGTATTTTACCCCCAATGGCAGACTCTACTTTCATTTGAATTTAATTTTATCTAATTTACAATGATACGATACGATTGTAAATAACCTAAATGAAATATTTTATACTTATCGCTTCCTATTCAACAACAAACGTGACTTACACCACTGAGGAAAACCGGACTTAATATGAAACTTTTTGTAGCTGGAATGTCTACAATCATTTCACTTTACTTTCGAGATACCCTATATATATCATTTTATTTAAAAAAATATTTGAGTACATTTATGATTGTCAACTGGATCCTAATCAACTTTGAATTTTAGAATCAGGAATATGATTTTTTTTTTATTTATTTATTATAAACCTGTGAATGTTGATAGGAGAGGTTGTTAGTACTGGGTATCCTTAGACATTTGGGAACCAGGACACCCAAGAAGAGGACCGCTAAAGGAATGGGAAAAGAAGCTGGCTTACTGACCTTCCTGCCGAAGGGCCGGAACTCCTTCTTGGCGGGCCTACGGAACGCCATCTCTCAGCTAGCGATCTTCATTGGTCCGCACTGATGGTCGCTCCGGGTCAGCGGACGCACGGGCACACGCCGCTAGCAGCAGCTCCTCCGGACTAAGGCCAGAAATAGTCAGCTCTCTCTCCCACCCATTTGACGCAAACGTTTTGGCCGCCCAAGGTATTTACACTACTAAAACCGGGTACGCCCATCCTCTGCCAAAAGGTGGAGAAGGGAGGCGATCTACGCTTATCTCCCGACTGTTACAGTACTTCCGTTGGACTATTTCCAATATGACCAAAATACTATTTTTATTTACTTCTTTCACGAAACTTCCCCACTAATCGACCACAGTCCACTTCACCATAACCATAATAATAGATCCTAATCATCTGTGCCAGCCATTTTAGCACAAAATTACACTCATAGTGAGGTGTGGATCGTTGTCTAATAAATTTACTACAATAAATGAAGACGATAAATAAGTTTAAGGAGGTAGATTGGCGAATTTGCTTGGTTCTGGTCCTTCGAATTGGAGGAAACTTCACCAATATTATTCATTCACTTCATCTATATTTTTTGTATAAACTTTTATGTAAATGTTTATTAAATAAGTTTCGTATTTTATTCTCGATCGTCTGGTTGGGAACAATGAACCCTCTCTACCAATCCTTTCCAATGATAAATTAAATAAATGTTTATTTCACTGGCTCGTATCAGTAAGGTTATTGAAGATATCAAGAGAATTTCGTATAATAAAACATGCATAATATTATAGCTTACAATTTTCAAGTTTGGAAAACTGTCCATATTACGAAAAGCTGTAGTTAGGCTAACCGTTACTTAACTTACTAAATTTTAGTAAATTTAAAAATGTATGGAGTATTTTTTTGGTTATAACGTGCCCCTTCATGGTCAAAATAATGCCACCCCCTCTCCCTCGGATCACTTTTGAATATCCCTAAAATTGCTATATTTTCGATTTTTTTTTTCCAATTTTATCCAACAATGATGACGTTTTCGACAAAAAAACATTCCATAAATTTTTAACTACTAATTTTTTACTTGATTAAATATGCTACAATTTAACACAAAAACAGGCTCAGTAAATTAAACAGTTTGTGAGATACAGATTTTCAAATTATATTTTCCATTTAAATTATTTTCCATGCCTTATAATGTGCAATTGTCTTTTATCTACAATAACCTATCTGATATGAGTCAGCGAAGTAAATATTTATTCATTTTAATAATTTGAAGGAGAGGGAAAGATTTAGTGGAAGAGAGTAGTCCGTGGGCCAGACCCCCCTTCTATGCACCATCCCTCCACATCACTATGATATATGTATCTGTATATAATATATATATATTATATATATATATATATATATATATATATATATATATATATATATAAAAGGCAATGTACCCACAAAAAAAGTGGCCGCACTGTCTCAAAATGGCGTTTAAACATGGCTGAGCGACGACTTCGACTTGTGTTAGTTTTTCGGTCACTAAAATTCAGCAGTTGACTTACTTTCGTCATAATTGGTGTTTTGATAAAGCTGGATAGTCAGAGTATAATAAAGCATCAAATTTGTTCTTGTATGAAAAAAAGTCTAAAAAATTAGTTATTTTGATTTATTTAGTTTATATACATTTAATTTTATTACTATTATTTTGCTGTTTATTTATTGTACATAGTGTGAATGAGCTACTCTTATATCAGTATTACTATATCTTTTCCTATCTTAATCTCCGTGTTTATTTATAGTTTACAATACCATTGCGAGTTCTCATTTTAAGTTATTAAGTAACATATATAAATAATTTATTTTCTTTTAATTAGTTTTTTTCTATTTGTCGGTGCAATTGTTTTCTCATAAGATTAATTTTATGCCTCTTCCTAATTGTATTTATCAACTTATTTTTATTTTATATCTCTTACGCCGGGATAATGCAATATTGTGATCCCATTGCTCATCTTCTGTATTAATGTATAAGCGCATTTCAACGAATCTATACATTTCAGAGCTCCTTAAGTCCGAAAAACACATTTTTAGGCATTGGTCTGTCTGTCTGTCTATCTGTGCCAAGATTTTCTCGTGAACTAATGAACCAATTTTACTGCTTCTTTTTTTATTTTGTAGGGTTTTGACTACTGATGCCTGTGACATAAATTGGGTGCTCTATGCGCAATAACTGCTGCACAATAAATGAAAAACATGTTTTACTATAGACTGTAGCGCGAAAACGGCTCAAACGATTTTGATGAAACTTTCCAATAACGTTCTAATAATTGTCCTTTCAATTTTTTTAAATGGACTAAATTCCCGAGAAAATTTAGGAAAAAAAGTTATAAAGAAAAGAAAAATGTTTTGGGGCCTAACTCGCTAAATATATATTTTATGGTAACATTTGTAATACAACTTTTGAAATATAATTAGATTATCAACGAAACAAAAAAAAAAATCATCGGATTCGAACTAATATTAGCGATGATACAGCTTATTCTATTTTCTACACATGTTTTAATTTATTACTTTCCTATCTACACTAGGTAAGAAAAGTATTGCGATCGGGTAAAATTTCCAATATGCGGTTTTAGACGGATCTGTACGTTTCAGAGCCCTCTGAGAAAAAATACCGTTTAACCTGTTTTTTGTTACAAAACTATATAAAAATCGTTCATTTCGGACAACTATTAACGAAATTACAGCTATTCAATTTCCAATGTAAGATTACGGGTTTATATCCTAGTGTCAGAAAGAGGTGAATGAGAGAAAAAAGATAACTAAGTGAAAGTAAGAAAATCTGTCACCCGCATCACACAAGCTTCACTATTTCCTCTACTTTCATCAAAAATTATTGATTGACAAAATTAGGCTATAGCAAAATGTTTTTGGTCAGCAATATTACAGGTTATTGAAATTTTTACATTGATCTATCTTAAGCCGGTTTACATTGCTTTAGTTTATCAAATAAATCGTACTCAAATCTTGTCTTTAATCAATTTGCAGGAAAATAAATGTAATTAAATTTTTTTTAATTTCTTGATGGAACGTCGTTTGAGTGAACACACCAGATTTTTCCTTTTGTAACTGAACAGTTTATTGTTATCCTAAGGGGACTTTGGGATCATTCATCATCATATATATGGTAATTGGAGGTTGATTATCGTTATTTATTTATTTATTAATAAATAATAAATTTTAAATGATTTAAGTGACCATATCTTTTTGTCTATGTTCATAGGACTATGTTACTTGCTGTGTGTGCGTTCTAATTTTCTGATTTTAAAACTTTGGCAATCAAATACCATAATTTTTTTTTTTGCCCTATAAATTTCCGAAATTGTCTTGTATCGATTTTATGGAAATATGTGTATATTGCATAATTGTAATTGTGTGTATTAGTATATTATAGTACTGATATTGTTTAAGCTGTGTAATATGAAAAAGAATTTGTATATATAAACATATGATTAAGTATAATTAAGTGCTATGTCCAAAAAAAAAAAAAAAAAATGATTGATGAATATGCTGTGTATCGAGCAACCCATATAGTAGGGCAGCACTGCTTTAAATAAAGCATTTCTCTCTCTACTTTCCAATATTCATGGTTTTTATTATCTTTATTTAAAGAGAGAAGTACTGATAAAATACAGTACCTAATAAAAATATACATAACTTTTTTAAAATTTTATTTTAATAAGTTACACCAATTATCTGGATTTTATTTTGTAAATTATGTAGATATCTAAAGTTCATATCAACTTTTAAAAGTAAGTTATTTTTGTTTAAATTTTACATAATTTTTTTTAATTTATTTTATTCAAAAGATACTCATATTTCTGTCACGATAAATTTGCTATCTACAAGGATATTGAGCAAATATAATATCAAGGATGTAAATGATATCAAGGAGAAGATAACTAAACACACAAAAAATAATAATAACAAAAAAAAAAAGAGTAAGAAAGAATATGAATAATGCAAACTAATAAGGAAATATTTAATTTATTTATAATTATTGATAGTTTTAATTATATTTTACAATGTCAGTAATACTATATGAACTCTACTGTTGATGTACAATGAATTGCTAGTGATAATATATACAGATGTACAAATAAACATTGATTTACGGCGGCAATCATATCTGCTGTGTATTAAAGTACAAACTTAATAAATAAATTACTATACCATAAAACATATATTTATATTAAAAGTACCTATATAAGTAACATTTAAAATTTTCTATTTTTATTATGTATTTATCTTGGTTCAGTGAAAAAAATTAATAATAGTTTAAAATACTATTAGTCATCTTTATTTATTGTTGAGAAAATCGTTTTAAAATCATCAATAGTACATCGTAATAAAATACAGCATTTTACGCGTAAATATATGAGTGTTATTTCTTTATTTTTAATCGACGTTATTAAGTATTATTTACAACGTAAACTGAAGGAAGTAAACATAAATCACCTGCATAACCATCTGGTAAACAGCGAAGCTACGAAGCATCGTAACGAGATAGCATAAATAACAGCGAAATGGTAGTCAGGAGTCGATGTTTATAACTGTGGATAGAACATTAAAAGAAAACAACACGTAATAACATAAAAATAACGTTATTGTATTTATAAACGTAAGTCGATATTTTAAAATAATTTACGATTATCACAACTACGATTATTTGATTAGAAACCTGAAAGCATGGAAACGACAAACATTTATTTTTAATAATATATTGCTCGGACTGAAAATAATATATTGCTCGGACTCTTTGCATGATTTTTCTAATATTGTACACAATTCTAGTGAATGTAGAAAGGCATTTATTAACAATTTTAATCATGAATGAATTTAATCATAGTTTAAATAAATGTGTATTACTATTATTATTTAGTCTTCCAAGAAAAAGTTTCTTATACTTATATTTAGCTTTTCTCACAGGTGGATCTAAGGGAGAAAAGGGGGGAGGGCTTTTTGGCTGGAGTCCTCTTCCCCCAAAAAATGGTAAAATAGAACCATGCCTTAGGAAAAGAAATATTTAATAATTACCACTGAAAGTATTATTGTTCGTGTTATTGCATATAATAGTACTTAAAGAATCACTTAAACTCTATTTC